ATGAACTAATTGAGCACTACCACTGCATGCATTCTCTCCATAAGTCTCAGTATTGTCTCTCCTGTGAAAGTTACTTCACTGGTGGTACATTGGCTGGACAACACTTCTGTGGAAAAGTCGAACTTAATGACAAGAAAAAATCATCTCCCTCGTATAGCAAAGTGCTAACTGAGAAGAAAGTAAAGTTCATATGTAGGTACTGTAGCAAGTCCTTTGTTCGACAAGCTTATTATGAAGAACATGAGCTGAAGCACAGAGTTGTCACACATCATAGATGTGACTGTTGTGGATTATACTTTCCTAATGCTCACAAATGTCAAAGTCACAAGCATAAAGCAACATGCACACCTTTGATACTAGACCCTTTTTTACAGACTGCAGATCATTCAGAATCAATCCATGAAAAGAGCGACATACCAGACGTGGTTGAAACAGTTGGCTCCAATGTAGAACTTCGTAATTGCTTTGTGAAACTAATGGATGTGTGCAAGACAAGCCAATCACCTGAACGAATGCATTGTCAAGTTTGTGGCAAGACTTTCAGGCTCAGAGCGCAATTGAATGCACACCTTAGATCACACTCGGATGAGAAGCCCTTCAAGTGTGACAACTGTGAAAAAGCATTCAAATATACCTGGAATCTTAACAAACATAAAAGAGAGCAGTGTTCTCAAAAGATTGTCCCACATGAAAAATCTTCAGTTCCAGATAGCAACTTCCCACCAAAGTTTAAATGCCCAATCTGTTTTCGCATTTTCAAGTACTCCTACAATCGGACACGTCATTTGCGTCACCAGTGTCTCAAAGAATACATGAAAAAAGGCAAAGGAAGGATTGGTGACAAGTATCAATGCCCTTTGTGTAAAGATATGTTTACTGTGGCCGGCAACCGCAATAGACACATTAAGCAAACTTGCATTAAGCTTAAACTCTATAGAGCCAAAGGAAAGGTAAAGAACAGAAAAGAGTTAGAGGAACTTAACGATACCAAAAAAGAGGACAAAGAGTCACTATTGACTATGTCCATACAAAAAGCATCACGGTACAAATGCACTTTCTGTCCAGCTGAGTATTCTAGCAAGTCTGGTTACTACAGCCATGTAGCAAAGCATAAATTGCTTGGACATGACAAAAAGGCAGTCAAACACAAACATGGTAATGCTGTTGATTTGAAAAACTCAAGCTCTGCTGTGGAAAGACCAACTAGCCAAGAAAGTGCTGACAAAGACGCAAGACTTCCTTTCTCCTGTCGCTTCTGTGGAAGAGCCTTCGCTTCACCTGACTCATTAAAAAAGCACTTACGACTTCATAAAGGAAACAAACCTTTTCGCTGTTTAGACTGTGGTAAAAATTTTGCCAGGCATGGACACCTAATGGCTCACAAAATTGTGCACAGGAGGAATATACAGTGTTCAGTCTGCTGGGAAGTTCTGCCGTCTATTGGAGATTTGTTAAAACACAGACAGTCCCATCCAAAAAAAGGCATGCTTAAATGCCCTGATTGCCCTTTGCAGTTCCAGTTTCCAGTATTTCTGCTTCGACATGTGGCTGTGCATGAGAGGAGACGCAAACTTAAGGAACTTGTCCCTCCAAAGGACCAAGCTACACCTCAAAAGGTAGAAGAAATATACAAAGAGGAGTTCAAATGTGGTCTCTGTCAAGAAGCCTTCGTTGACTCAAAGGCACTTAGCGAGCATTGTTTAACTCATATGCCTGGACCTTCTGCATCCAAATGTCAGTTCTGCAAACGCCATTTCTCAAGTCGTGCTGGACTTATTCGTCACATCCGCCTTCACACTGGTGAAAAGCCTTTTCCCTGTCCAACTTGTGGCAGGCACTTCCATAGAAAGGAAGTTCTTAAATTGCATCAGGAAAAATGTACAGTGGAGCAACTACCTCCATTACAAATGTCAAGTACCAAACAAATACAGGCAGAACATAGTGTAGACACTGCTTCAAAAAAGACCAGCAAAGTCTATAATTGCTCATACTGCCCACATTCATTTCGTTTTCCAAACAATTTAAAACTCCATGAGAGAGCCCACATGGCCAAGACAGTTTTCCCTTGTTCAAAGTGTGGGAGGTTTTACAGGAAAAGAAAATTGAAAGATCATGTTGAACTCTGCAATGGAGACCAGATAAAACCTGCTTGCAGAAAATGTGGGAGAATTTTTACTAGAAAAAACTACAGAAATGGTCACGAAAAGCAGTGCCAGGGCAAGCAGAACAAAACTGAAACTGAAACCGAAACTGGAAAAGGAACAAATGAGAAGGGCAAATTTAAGCAGCAATGTCCACAATGCTTTAAATGTTTCAGATCTAGCAGTTTCCTCCAGAGACACGTATCTCTTCATTCAAAGGAAACTGCATATACATGCATGCATTGTGGACAGAAATTTGACAGTGAGGATCGATACTTGCAACATGAAGCCTTTTGTGATAGTGTGTTCAAGAAACGTAGATTGGAGAGTTTAAGAGGATCTGAGAAAATTAAATCGATGTTTGTTGAAGAAAAAAATCATAAAGAGGTCCCTGTGGTTCCTGGAGAAAATGGTGAGTCATTTAAGTGCAAATTTTGCACTAAATCATTCTTGAGGGCCAGATACCTAAGGCGCCACATTCTCACTCATACAGAGGTCAAGCCATACCGGTGCAAGACTTGTGAAAGTTGTTTCTCACGCTATGATCATTTAAAACTGCACCAAGCCCGCTGCAGAGGAAAGCGACAACTTGAGGTACGAGTTGAAAAGATGAGTCTCGACAGCTTGAGCACAAGTCCCCAAAGCAAAACCCAGAAAGATGGTGACACATTGCAATGCAAAGTTTGCTCAAAGCAGTTGTCCACCCCGAGTGATCTGAAGCGTCATATGGCCATGCTCCACATTACCGATAAACCTTTTCCCTGCAAAAGATGTGGCAAAACTTACAGTACTAAAAAGACTTTGAGGACGCACAACCTTACAATCAGATGCAAAAAGATTTCAAAGGAAAGCGTGCCATCTGCCAAGAATGATGTTCAAACCCAACCATGCAGAGAAACATCCAAACTTCTGCAACGTATACAGGTGCACTATATGAATAAATTTAAATACCAATGTGAGTATTGTCCTCGACGCTTTAAACTATCGGGACAACTGAAGGTACATGTACGTCTTCATACAGGGGAAAAACCATATGGCTGTGCCAACTGTGGAGAGCATTTCATCAGAACAGACTATTTGAAACGACACTTGGCTAAATGCAGTGGAAAGGGAGAAAAAGAAAAAATTCTTTGTGATAAATGTGGTGACCTGTTTACCCGGGACGCACTGTCTGTACATCAGAAGACGTGTGCCATTAGCTCAAAATCATCCGGATCATCTCAACAGGTAAATGATAAAGACAAGAGCACCACCAAGATAAAAGGTTTTTCCTGTGCTAACTGTAGTGACCGGTTTTTATTGTTCTCACAGCTCCAGCAGCATTTTTTAGAGAAGCATAGATCTGATCAGCCACAAAGTAACGATCAGCAGCAATTGGTATCAAGTCACATGCAAGTCATAAAGCAAGAGCAGGTTGATGAGGGATATGGGCAGAACCAAGAAAGCAGCAGTCAGATAAATGCACGGGAGCGACGTGCGTGTTCAAACACAGACCTCATCAAGCCTCTTAAATGCCCCCAGTGCAACATGCGGTTTTCCAGGAGCACTGGCCTGGGTATGCACATGCGCATACATAAGGGAGTGTACCCACTTTCTTGCACAAAATGTCATGTTGGTTTTTGGACCAGAAAGACAATGGAGAAACACAGGAGAAAATGTAGAGGTCACACACTTATCTCAAATAATGGATCGGTGATGGAAAGTGCAGGTGATTTAAACGACACTGTTCTAGTATTTAACAAGGGTTCTAATACAACAGGAACTGGAGTACTACAGACTAAATTCTCATGTAAAGATCAAGACCAGGAAAATGATGCTGAGAAAGGAGATGTGTCTGTTCATAAGTATCAGTGTTCTGAGTGTGATCAGAGTTTTACCGATGGACTGAGACTCATAAGTCATTTAGAGGAACATGGCCGTGAGGATCAAGAGCGCAAATCAGACATCCACAGATGCCATGTGTGCACTAAAGTCTTTGCTCAAGCTGGTATATTGCAAAGGCATGTGAAAATGCAACATAATGAAAAGATGAATAATACTTGTGAAATTTGTTTCAAGAGTTTTCGTTTTCCATCTGACCTGGACATTCATAGATCTTGTCATGACCCCAGTCGTCCCTTTGCCTGTAACAGTTGTAAGATGCGGTTTTTGACTGCTAAAGCTCTGACCATTCACCATAGGATGGTTCATTTGCATGCACAACCACCCAACTCGAAAGAATCTAGTGTGAAAGCAAGAACGGAGCAGCCTGAAGTATATAGGTGTGAACCATGTGACAAAACCTATATGTTAAAAAAGTCATACATGAAGCACTGCAAAATAAAACACAAAGAGGATTTTATCAAAACCCTCGCTGATAACGAATTGAAAAAATCTTCGGGCAGTGCAAGTCAGGAATCAGATGAGGAAGACTCCAGAAATTTTGAAGATGAAGATGACAGCGACAATGACTCCGATTCAGCACCGTACTTTCCTTGCCATGTTTGTGGTAAAACATTCTTAACATCAGAAAGTCTTGAGGATCATCAAAGATGTCATCTTGGCGAAAAACCCTTCGAGTGTGAAGAATGTGGGAAGTGCTTTTTTCAGCTCGCAAACTTGCAACAACATCAGCGGTGCCACAAGTCAGAGTTTCAGTGTCAAATGTGTGGTAAAGGTTTTGTCTCGCTCTTCAGCCTGCGCAAACACAAGCAAACGCATATCAGAAAGAGTCCTCACCGCTGTACCAAGTGTCACCTGAGCTTTACACGCTCAACGGAATTAGCTGAGCACATGGTTACCCACCGTGATGAAAACTTTCCATGTGACCTTTGTGATGAAACCTTTTCCTGCAAAACAAGTCGGGCGGAGCATCGCAAGATGCACACGGAGCAAGAAGAAGAGCTTCCACCATTGATTCCCCCCAAACCACCTCAAACAATGCAAGTGACTCCTGCCATCACAAGTAATGTTGAGCAGTACAAGTATCGCTGTGGAATTTGTCAAGTAAGATTTCCAGATCCAGAACAGCTCTCAGAACATGGCTGCAATCCAGCAAAAGAGCGGCCATACTCATGTCCTGAATGCAACAAGCATTTTTTACATGGTTCACACCTGAAAAAGCATCAGCTCAGCCATCAGTTAACGGGACCACGGTCTTATCAGTGTAATCATTGCGGCATGAGCTTCACCCACTACCACCTTTTTCTCACTCATTTACGAAGCCATGGGAATGAAAAAGCTTCCAAGGACACTAACTTTCCTACCAGTGAAAAGATGATCCGTGTGGAACCTGTGAAGCGTGACAAAATTTACCAGTGCCCAATATGTCCAGAGAGTTTTTACCAAGCTTTGGACCTTGCGAATCACCTCTCTGTTCATTCTCACATGTGCAGTGTTTGTAATATGACTTTTCCCACTAAGAAAGACCTTGATGAACATGAGCAATGCCATTTGACTGCTGCTACTCAGTATGAATGCACAGAATGTGGAGACAGCTTTCTTGGAAGTGATGCTTTCCGCAAACACCACTGTAGTAATAGAAATGTGACCTTTTCAGAAAAGCACCGTTCAGCGCCATCTGTCCCTTCCTCCAAGAAGCAGAGTTCAGGCACTCGTTTTCAAGCGGGTGATGAAGAAGAGGAAGAGGTTGATGTTGGAGAAGACTTCATTATTTGTCCTATCTGTAAAAGACGGTTCTCCTCCAATAGCAGTTTAATGGAGCATCATAAAAAGCATCATGAGGATCCGCGTCCTTTCAAGTGCTTGGTTTGTAAAAAAGGCTTTACAAAGAAACGTTACCTTACGCAGCACCAGCAGATACACAGTGAACGCCCTTACCAATGTGAAGTGTGCTCGGAATCCTTTAAAACAGAACCGGCTCTTATATCTCACCGTAAAATGCATGACGCAAAAAGGCAACACCAGTGCCCAATATGCAGTAGAACCTACCTTACAGCAAATGATCTTGCAAAACATAAAAGGAAACATGCTGAACATCAAAGCCTGAGTGAGGACAACCGAGAATACCGATGCGATATGTGCTATAAATCCTTCACCATGTTTGCTCATTTGCAAAAGCATCAAGAAACCCATGTAGGACAAGTGGTCTATGAATGCACAGAGTGTGACAAAGCCTTTGCTTTTCTAAATCTTTTGGAGGAACATCAGAGGACTCATGGTGCTGCTTCTACAGAATCTCTTCAGTCCCAATCACCAACCCATTTTCCCTATCAAAGCTCAGTAAATGAATGAAGGTCGAATTACTGATGACTCCGTTTCCTGCAATGCAGGTTATTCAAAATCATTCAGTTTTCTGAACGTTATTTGTTACGATAAACTGTACATTGTTTTTACATTGGCCTAACTGCTTTTATCCACTTTGAAATATGATATTGGTGTTTTACCCTAGTTCAGAATTGGTCTGTTAATGTTCATACAATCTGCTCTGTTCTACAGTTCTGTGAACTGCTCACTAATTTTTCTTTGTACAGTAATCAGACTGATGTAAATTACATTTACGTAATCTAGATGTATGAAACTATAGGCATATGTGCATGAATGCGGTTGTTGGAGATGTTGATGTTCCACAGTACAGTTCACAAGGATGTATAGTAAATCCTGTGTCATTCCTCCATTTTTGACCTTGCTTTAAATATCCTTATGAAAGTTAGAGGAAATCTGTAGATTAATGTTAATGTTTCATAGTAATGCCCAGCCATGTTAATTTTTTTTTCTTTCTTTGTAAATATTTAAGGTCAGGTTAAGGGGTTATTACACAGTAGTTATATGATGTGAATGCCTTTGAGTTAAAAATGTTATTACATAATCCAGATTTACCTTTTTCTTGAGGAGTCTAACTTGAATGGCTTCCCTCAAAAAAAGTCAACTTCAGGCTTGATAATTCTGTATCCATTCTGTATGTGTTTTAATCTACATTAGTGCTGACATATATGCCTATGAAAACCTGATGTTTAGTTTTACTTTTATATGGCAATGTTGAGAATTTCTTCAACTAGTAAAAACATTTACATCTGTTTTGTTGTTTGAGCAGTTTCTTTCACTTATGGAATGATTTGAGGTAACAGGTCACAAAGAACCACATTTTATATCCACTTAAATGCGGCTTCACTAAGGAAGTCTAATTTATAATAAAGTCAACAGTCAGTAACTTGGTGTGAATCTTATTAAAAGTATAAGCTATACAGCTATACTTGTTATACAGGATTGTTCTCATACTGGCAATTAGATTTTGTAATAATTACTGGAGACCAACCTCACTTTCATGTATGTGATAAAATACCTCTCCATAGTGGCTGAAACCTATATTAGATGGTAGTCCCAAAGGGGGTTCACCACTCATAAACGGTGGGAAAAAAAATTGACTTACTCGAAAACATATATTAGTCATGTTAATGTTAAATGCTCTATAATGTTCTGAGTTAAGTTTCATATATATATATATATATATATATATA